TATTGTGGTGCAATAACCATGTACATAAAAATTGTTTTGCTGTAATTGCAATGTAAATTTTTACTCCAAATTATGTCAATTCATTTTTCTAACAATAATAAATTTCTTGGTTTTGCTCATTTTATAACCTACCAGAACACTGTGCTACTATGTTCATGTTCACTAGTATAATTATTCATAAAAACCAAAATTGCCTTCTGGCATGAGTGGGTAACAACTGATATCACGGAAAGTAATTGACCTGGCTTGCCAGCATTTGTGCCCTGGTGTCAATAAATAACATGCAATTGAGGCAAGATGGACACTATTTCACTGCTCACTTTAAGACTATCCATTTAATTATCATAGGAAGGATCCTTTGTGGATATCTGCTTAGATGAAATTTCTATGGCATTTAAAATGATGAAATTACAAGTTCAAACACTTGATTTCCTCCACTGCTTCAATACAGTGAATTAACTGTTTCTCGTCATTTGCAACTACATATAAGTCCAATTAGCTGCAAGTGACTTATTTGCAAACTTCTTATAACTTATAAGTGCTGTTCTGATTAACAAAGAATATTATATTGTACCAAACATGGAGAACACACGTACTACAAAAAACCTGCAGGTCCTCCCACAGCTGGTCCGGAAACTTGTCTTCATTTTACACCTTCTGCAGCTTTTGTTTTAATGCGTTAGCACAGCGTATACCTATCAAAATTCTTAAATGGAGTGCTCATCATCTCACTATGGGTTTCGTGCTAAAACCTTCTAGTACTGGCACAAATTTACATTAATTTTTTGGCAGGACACATGAGCTGACACTACTTAAAACGCCCGAGGCAAAAACTAAAAACAGTTCTCAATTAAATCTAAATTATTATTTTTTTTTCATGAAAAAAATTCAAACAGCCACATTGCTCATACTCAGAATTGCACTTCACTGCGATGTTGTTATGTTTCATCACGTTCACTTCACTGGATACTGTATAGTACCGAGACACCAAGCTTCAGGAGAAAAATAACTCACGAACTTACCGTAGCAGTTTGCTTTATCGAAGACTGAACAACAACTGCTGGGGTAGCCATTGCAGAAGGAGAATTCCCTCCCATACAACACCAAATCACGGCCACCAGTACTACAAGCACAGTGCATGCAATCAATAAGTATTTCACTGAAGGAATGACTCCGTCGCTGCGTTTTGTGGGTTGCATTCGAAGAATGGGCAATAAGTAAGGTCGATACAATATAACGTATGTGGGGATCGACTAATTCACACTGTTTAATGGATTAATATCCAGCTATCAAAGCAAGGTATACATTGTTTTCAGATACATAAAACTCACGGTTAATTCTTTTAAATAATTTGTCTTTTTTTTACTTCTGATCAAGAAATAGTAAATAGATTGATTTTAAGCAACCGGTTTTTATTAGTATCGGTGGATAGCATATGGTTTTCTCATTTATATGACCTACATTTTAGTCTGATGTATATCTACGTGCAGAGGTGGATGGACAGTAGTCGTTGTAGTAACCCGTCGTCCCGGTGAGGTTGCTCACAAGATGTCAGACCCCAATTCTACAGTCTTCCCAACAGAGGGACCCACAGAACCACCGTTAACATACCAGGTTTAGTATAATTTATTAGTGTAGCTTTCACTGATCAATAACTGGGCTACTGAAACTAGCAAGACTTGCTGAATGAATTATTTATGAGATGACACTGACAGATCACCCAGAAATTGCCAGAATGAATAAGGAATAATTCATTAATGTTTGGTTGCCAAAGCATATTTTTATTGTAATATACTACTTCTTCTATAAAATGCACTTGCTGACAAAAAATCTTTGTAAGTCAGAATTTGATTTTGGAATCAGTGCAATGGGCAGTGTGGATTGACAGGCCAATCTTACCCGTGTGTCTAACATATATTTACAAATATTTGTAACTGTATTGATACATATATTTTTCTGAGGCATTTTACCCAACAAAAACACCACACTTTGTTCTTTATAAAGGGTGAAGTGACCAGGTCAAATCGTGTGGGAAATTTTAAAGAAAAGTAAATACTCCATATATCTAACCACCAAAAATGAATATTATAATTCATTACACATTCATGTATTGATTCGGACTAGGACTAAGACAAAGAAACTGTAACTGTCATACAGTACCATGTGTCACGTGTTGTGGTCAGTTAAGCGATGTGTACTACTGAGTGTCACATGATTTTGGTGGTCATCTTCAACAGATAGATGTGGTCAGGGGATGTCACATGACTTTGTCACATGTATAGTGAGATTCGCCCTGGATTATTTGTCTTCATGTTCTACTTTTTTGAAGTTTAGGGTTTCCTATGGTTGGACAACTGTATTTTATGAATTGTCAAGATGAATACAATTGAAGAATATGTATACCATTTTTTTTTTTTTTTTTTTTTTTTTTTTTTTTTACAAAAAATTTCATTGTTGCAAAGTGTTATTGAAAGACTTTACACCTGTTAAGTGTGCAAACAAAATATTCTATTCCTAGTACAGTCTGGCTTTGCATGCATGTGATAAGACATTACAAGTAAACATGTCACATGGACAGAGGGAAATGCTGTAGGGCCCATGCCTTAGGCTCATCAGGTGTCTTGTTTCCATTAATAATAAGAATTAATGTTCTTGTCTACAACACAGATACTTAGATTTGAACCTTGAAACCAGTGCACAACGAGCAATGTATTTTGGTTGCAAATTTGTTATTGTCTAATTTTTGTGAGAACAACCTATGGAAGTATTACTGCTAGAACACTGAACATAAAGCATCATTACAGTAGCAGGATTTATCACTAACAGCATGTGAAACCAAGTTTTCTTTCAGCAAAAGCATGGGCTTTATATTTTGAACATGACCATTAAAACAGATTTTAAAAAAGAACAGGATTCTGAGTCTTACATAGTAATGTAGTTGATAAGTGCATAATACCTAACCTAAATTTTTTTTCTCATAATATGCCCTGTATATAATGTCCTGTATAAAGACAATGTATTTGACATTGTCATCTTATAATATTTATTATTACCTATAGCACCTCCCATAAAATGTTGAGCACTGGTAAATGTGTAAGTTGTTGATGTTGGAATGAAAAGAGCTCAGTATTGTGAACTTTAATGTTAATCAAGTTAGTGTTTTGATAAGCTGAAATCTTTTTAATTTGGTTTTTAATGATCTGTTGATCCAAAATGCTACAGAAGGGCGGACTGCTAAATGCCATTTTCCTCATTTTAATCTTCATATAATTTTTAAAAAACCAGTTGAATTTCAAGGAAATGAAATTGCATATGTTGGTATAGAGGCTTATGCTAAAAAAATCTTTATCTGGATAGCCATAATCCAGTGTGTCCCATGCTATCAAAATACCATTATTCATCCATCAGTCTATGCAGATGAGATATATATTTATAATTCACTGACATTACACAACCTTAGTCCTATGTTATCCTGCCACAATATTCATAGTAATATCAATGTCTACTCAACATACTATAGTTAAGGTTACTTTGAAAAAAAAAACATAGGACATATATTGGAAAATTATGTGAAGACTGGTGAAGGTTTAAGTGGTATGTACTTGTTTGATCCAAGATGAATGAGTTATCATCAAATAACTTTTACATAAAATATAGGTACCATAATTTTTACATAAAATAAAGCTGGGGTGGCGCTAACACTCGCCGATTTAGCCAAATTCTAAAACTTACTTAAATTGGCTAAACAAAAAGGGCTTGATTTGACTTGTTTTAGTCAAGTTATAACCATGTGGATAAATAATTGGCAAAAATGTGGTGATTTGGCTAAGGGAAAAAAAAATTGCTAGCGCTACCCCAGTAAAGGTAACAAAAGTTTTTAACAAAATTTTTGAAAGAAAAGAAAGACATTTATTAGAGGGATTTAAGAAAAGTTAAAAGAGCTTCACCATGGTCACACTTATTGGTAAATTCTTTCTTTGTTGTTCCAGAATGTTTTGATAGGATGTCTTCTCTGCATAGGTGGAAACTTATTGATCAGTGTCTCTCTCAATGTTCAGGTAAGATCATATACTAGTACTTGATAGAATGTTTTGTTTTACTGAAAGTTTTACTCATAATTTCTTGTAATTTTCCGGAAAAAAAGATAGGGTTTTGCAAAGTTACGTAGAATTTTTACAATTTGTAGATCTTTTTTTTTTTCATTTATGTTACACTGCATAAGCAGGATCTGAAAGCAAGGGTTGACTGTACAAATATATGAAGGATTTAAGACCACTTCACTAAACTTTTGCATTACC